CCTTACAATTACCAAGGAAACTCTTTATTCTGCTTATCTAAAGTGCTGGTCAGCTGGTACTTTTATGAGCCTCTGTGGCTTAGATATTATGGGCTTAGTACTGTAGTGGAAAGGAGAATCAGGACCCAACAAACTTAGCCTAACTTAGCCTTTTAAATGCCTGTGATCATTTAAATGTCATCTACCACAGTTACAGAGCTGTCCAGAAAATTCTCAGCCCAATTTTTCTCCTGATTTGTAAATCCAGGCACTTTTAGAGTCATGGACATGTAGTTTACATGTTCAGAACTATGGTTTTGGTGACTTTCAAGAATGGTTTTGGTGACTTTCAAGAATACTCAACACTATAAATACTAATCTAAAAAAAATGTATTACTGAAGCTACTGAGAAGTAAAGTGTTTCAGGGCCTCTTGCTACCAAGGGGTTTCTAGAGCAGGACCCTGCAGACGAACCTGTAGTGTTCTGTGTTGCAGTGGGGGTGTCAGTGGAAGAAAGAGGGCCACTCCAAAAATACAATTCAGGCTTATTAGCAACAGCAGCAGGAGATCTGGCTTCTTATGAACTGACTGACTGTGGCTTAGCAAAAGCCTCCTTTATTGTTACACAAATTGCACCTCTTAGTAAGTCAATTTCCAAATACCAAAGCCAAAGCCTTACCTGGTGTTTGAAGTTTTGCCTAAGCAGTTCTCAGCATGAGACCTTGTTTGCCAGGTCCTCTCAAGACTAAGTTATGCAAAGACTCAGATTCCTTCAAAAGAGCAACTCCAATAATAATCACTGAGTTTAAACAAAACCTCAGAGCTTAGGTGCTGTCACTCAGGAATTCAAGCCACAGATGCAATGGCTATGTGGAACTCTTATGAACCAGTAGAAAACCTGGGGCCAAGACAGCCAAGACTTTTGTCACCACTTTGTCTAGCTCCAAGTCTGTTCTCATTGCCTGTCACATTTCCTCTTCCCAGGGACAGTCAGAGGTTTTGGTCATGAGCTGTCATCTCAGTTTGTGATTCCTGTCACAAGCTAGCTCGTTGGTGTCTGGAGCCTGTAACTGAGGTGTACGGGTATAGTCCGAGGGGAAGAGAACATTGCTAAATAATGTCTTTCCATCAGGTTTTTATTTATTTATTTATTTTTCTGGAATCCACATATATTAAAATGCTAAACTGTTAGCTGAGCAATGGTGGTGCACACCTTTAATCCCAGGAGACAGAGGCAGGCAGAAGCCAGCTTGGTCTACAGAGTGAATTCTAGGACAGCAAGGGCTACACAGAGAAACCCTGTCTCAAAAAGGAAAGAAAAGAAAAGAAAAGACCCTAAACTTTTAATTTAAAATATAATTAATATAACATTTAATTTTTATTATAAAACTTATAATTTACAGTGTATAGTCTTCTAGGTTTTGATATCTTCAAAGTTATACAACTGCCACCACTAATTCCAGAGTCCATGCCTCCTCCACCTCTATTCTTTTTTCTTTTTTTAATTAATTTATATTTTACATTGCAATCCCAGTTCCCCCTCCCTTCTCTCCTCCCACTCCCCCCTCCTCCCATCTGCTCCTCAGATAGGGTAAGGCCTCCCCTAGGAAGTCTACTAAGTCTGTCCCATCATCTCGTTGAGGCGGGACCAAGGTACCCCTCCACCCCCACACCCCTATGTCTAGGCTGAGCAAGGTATCTCTCCATATAGACTGGGCTCCAGTAAGTCAGTTTGTGCCTTAGTATTAGATCTTAGACCCACTGCCAGTGGCCTCATATACTGTCCCAGTCACACCATTGTCACCTGTATAAAGGAGTCTAGTTCGGTCTTAATCACCCTATCCTCAGATCACTCCTACCATCGGCAATCAGTGGTACTTTCTGTTTTTATGCGTTTACCTCTCTGGACATTTCATACAGTCATACAATGTGTGGTCTTCTGTGTCTGGTTTCTTCTACTTAGCATAATGTTCAGGTATCATATATCATTACATCATATCTTAGGGCTGAAGACTGTTCCATAGGGACATACAATATTTTTATCCTATTAGTTGATAGACACTTGAGTTATTTCCACTTTAGGACTACAATAATACTATATCCACATACAAATTTTTTTTTGTGTGGGCGTGTTTTCAGTTCTCTTGGATGTTCACCCAGGAATAGGTAACACTAACTTTAAAAAATAAACTTACATTAAAGTGTAGTACTCATATTTTTAAAAGCATACAAATCATCATTGTTTAACTCAATAATTTCCATAAAATGAACATAACTCATTACTCAACACCAAGTAAAACAATAAGAATATTAGCTGGCTGTGGTGGAGCACACCTTTAATGCCAGTACCCAGGAGACAGAGGTTGGCAAGTCTCTGTGAGTTCCAGGCCAGCCTGGGCTACATCATGAAACCTCTTGTCTCTGTGAGTTCCAGGTCAGCCTGGTCTGTGTTGTGAGATCTCTTATATTCTCTTCCAGCCACTGTTTTCCCAAAATGGGACTACCATTCTAACTCTATCTCAAGTGTTTTAATTGAGGGGGAAAATCATATCACAAAATAGGTGACAGTTTCTCTTAGTGTGATTGTTCATGTTTGTAATCCCCACACTAAGAATTTTTTGAGACAGTATTACTATGCAGCGCAGGCTAGCCTGGAACTCACCATGTAACCAGGTTGGATGACTCTCCTGCCTTAGGTAGCCTCCCAAGTGCTGAAATTTTAGGCATGTGCCAATATGCCTGACACTCCAAATTTTGATGCCCGTTCTTACCTAATTGCCTCACTTTGCCCTTCTAGTAGTGCTGAGTAGAATGGGTAAAAATGGTATCCATATTTGTTTCTGCTTTTTTTGTGTTTTTGGAGACACAGTTTTTCTCTGTGTAGCTCTGGCTGTCCTAGAACTTGCTCTGTAGACCAGGCTGGCCTTGAACTCAGAGACCTGCCTACCTCTGCCTCCCAAGTACTGGGATTAAAGGCGTGTACCCCCACTACCCCAAGGTGTGTGTGTGTGTGTGTGTGTGTGTGTGTGTGTGTGTGTGTGCCTTTTTAATTAGACAGACAAGGGGAGATGATGTGGGATGTCCTTCTGTATGCTAGAAATATGTGTTACTTTTATTGCTTGATAAATAAAGCTGCTTTGGCCAATGGCCAGGCAGAATGTAGCTAGGTGGGTAGGTGGGAAATCCAAACGGGTATGGAGACATAGAAGATGGAGTCTAGGAGATGCCATGTAGCTGCCGAAGGAGTAACATTCCAGAGCATTACCGGTAAGCCATAGCCTCGTGGCAATACATAGATTAATAGAAATGGATTGATTTATAAGAGAGAACTAGACAGCAATATGTCTGAGCCATTGACCAAACAATTACTTAATATTAGTCTTTGAATGATTATTTCATAGGCTGCTCTGGGGACCTGTGGACAGGAGAGAAACTGGTCCAGTGGGACTGGGCGAGACAGAAAAACATCCAACTACAGTACTGGACCCCACTTTTCTCCACATCTCTTCCATTAGTACCAAAATTCACACCCAGGGAGCTTTTGTATAGTATTCTACATTCATTCATCAACATACATGTATTATTACATGTGAGATATATTGATATATAGAACAAGGCATTGGAAATACAGTGCTATGTGACATCTCTGCCTCTGCCTCCCAAGTGCTGGGATTAGAGGCGTGTGCCACCAGCGCCCAGCTATTTTTGACACATTTTAAAATCTTTTCTACATCTGTGTTTTTATTTATACTACTTTGTTAAATGTCATTTTTTAAAGAATTCCATCTGAATGGGGCTAAAGAGATGGCTCAGCAGCTAAGAGTCCTTGCTGCCTAGAATCCACAGGGTAGAGCACAGCCACCTGTAACTCCAGTTCTAGGGATCCCAGCCTCTCTCCTGGTCTCTGTGGGCTCTGCATGCACATTAGAATACACACAGGCAAAACATGTATGCACAGAGAACAAAAGTCTAAGAAAGACTCATCTGAGTAACTGTATACTGACATCAAATTTAATACTTATAATAAAGCCTGGTGTGGAAGGATGCATCCTACAATGAAATATATTCTATCTGGCTTTTGGGACAGTGGTTGCTAAGGGGTATTTCATTTTTAAATTTAGTTATCTGTCAATATCATGGATGTGTGCAATATATTCTGATTACTGCCATCGCACACACCTTATCTTAGTCCCTTTTCACTGCCACCACTACCCCGGACCCTACTAGTCCCAGGTTCATGATGTTCAGGTTTGGGTTTCGTTTGTGACCCATTCAGCTTAACCAGGGCCAGCTGTGTGGCCATTGGGTCGAACTATCCATGCATCTCTGTGTGGTCATTAGTGACTACACAACATTTTAAAGTCTTTCAGTTATAAATATGTAGCTGGTGTTTAACTTAAACTTATAAATTTAACAAGTATGATAAACTTATAAGCAAGCCATAGATTATAAGCAGGACTACATTGTGGGACTTACAGACTGGGTTATGAGTTCCTTTAAGGGGCTCTTCATATTGCTTGCATAGCAGTAATGTGCCAGACACTGTTGAAACTAACTTACCCAATTCCCATTACAACCCTGTGCCATGGAGACTGTTGCCATGTTACTGCTCTTTGTACAAACAAGAAACTGGAGGCAGGGGTCAGGAGGTGGGGGGTGATTTACTTGGTGGGCTTCACATCCCCTTGCTCTAAGCCCTCCTCATTAAGGGGGAATTAAACCTGCTGCCTGCCCCGGCATGCTGGCTTGCTGGCTTGCTGGCTTGCTGGCTTGCTTCCCACTGACCTAGAAATGAACCATTGAACTTAGGGCTCCTTCCCTCCCAAGTCTGGATCCCACTCGTTCTTCTAAGTTCTTTAAAGTAAATTGATAATTGCCTAGGTTCCTCAGTTTTTGGTATCCAATGAGCAGCCATAACTCCACGAGATCAAAGTTGGACAGTGGGCGGGGCTGGTGAGGGGCGTGACTTAGTTGCGGGTGCCTATAGTTGCTGTTTGGACTGAGCAGTCCTATGAAGAACCATGAGCTGGACTTGTCCGCGTTGTCAGCAACCAGTTTACTTTGGTGAGGCTGGGACCGAAGAGTAAAGATAATTCGTGAGCTCCGGGGGTCCCTGTGTCACCCGAGTGAGTGAGAGAGTGAGTGAGTGAGTGAATGAGCAAGCGAGTGCCCGCCACACCTCCAAAGTGCCTAAGGCCAGAGGCACGGGGTAGGCTGAAGCTTTCTCCTGGGGATACTATTCATTGTCTCCCAAGAGCTAGACTGGCTGGGCTAGTTCCCCCAGAATGCTGCAAGAGCAAAAGCAGGGCGTCTGGCGCTGGACTGGCCTCTACAGCCTGGATCTACCTTGTTCCCCACAGCTGAGAAAGTCAGCTCCTTAGGCAAGAACTGGCACCGTTTCTGCCTGAAATGTGAGCACTGCCACAGCATCTTGTCCCCGGGTGGGCATGCAGAGGTGAGGCCTGACCAGGGTGACAGCCCTCTTACCACACACCCCTACCCGGATAGACCCCAATTTCAGCCTTGGAAACTTGCCAAAGGCAACCTCAGGGACTACCCACCTGATGGGCCTCATACCAGTCAACATTTGGGAGTCTCAGTGGTGCTGCTGGCTTTGAGGGAGGGATAAGTGGCTGCTCTGTCTCCCACCCATACCCTCAACCTGTAGCCCACAGTGGTAATTCTGACTTGCTAGCTATCACCCGCCCAGTCAGAGCCATCAGACTGGAGTGCACATTGCACCTGACAGCCAGTACTGAAGGCCTGCGAGGCATGCCCTGGCCCTGAGTGACCCCTTCCCTCTGCCTGTGCTTGTGCTCAGCACAACGGGAGGCCATACTGCCACAAGCCTTGCTATGGGGCTCTCTTTGGACCGAGAGGTAAGTTCCAGCCTAGAAGGGGCACAGGGGCCCCAGAACTCTCCCTGTGGTTAGGAACTAGATAGAGCCTGACCTCCATTATTGGGTCTTCTCTCTGCAGGGGTCAACATTGGTGGTGTAGGTTGCTATCCCTACAGTCCCCCTGCTCCGTCCCCTGCCAGCAGCGTTTCCCTCAGCCCCAGCAACTTTAGCCCCCCAAGGCCAAGGGCTGGCCTCCCCCAGGCCAAGAAAAGTAAGTGAAGGTGGACTTCAGCTGTTCTGCTCTCCTTGACTCTTCATGCTACAGAAGCAGTCCTCTCCCGTGCCCTCTGTGCCACAGGCCTGTGACTGCTCTTGGCAGTGCTGTCGGTGGCCCTGGTTTTTTTCCTGTTCTCTCATGTGAGTTGAGTTTAAAAAGTAAACTGGACAGATAGCATGATCACCCTCATTTTGCAAGTGACACTCAGAGAAGACAGAGGACTTAGCAGTAATTAGAAGCAAGGCTTGCCTGGAACTGGGCCTGCACCCTGGCCAGGGCAGTAGAAGGAAAGACCTAAAATGAGGGCTTGTTAGGGTGGGCAACGCCTCAGATTCTTCTCTAGTCCCGGTTCCTTCCTTATCCTCCCCACAGTGGGCAGTGACACTGTGCTCCCCAACACCTGACACCACTGCCCTGGCCAACTCATGTATCAGCTCAGGTTTCCTGATGATTGAGTTACCACCAGCGCTGAAACATGGAACCAGTGGGCTTGTGAGGCCCTGGGAGGGTGACAAGGAGGCAGGTGGTCTCCAATGAAAATGGTCGGTAGGGTGGGATGAATCTTGAACTCAGGGAAGGCAGACTCATGGCTGCCTGGGGTGTGATGTGGTGGGGATGAGTGGGTTTGGGGAGAAGACAGTGCCACACACAGGCAGGGGCTGGAGGGCTCTGCTTAGGGACTGGCCCCGCCACAGCCTTAGCTGGGGCCTCTTCCCATTAAAGGCCCTCCCTACACAAAGACATTCACTGGGGAGACCTCGATGTGCCCTGGATGTGGAGACCCTGTCTACTTCGGTAAGTGACAACAGAAAGCTTGGAGATGAGCACTGGTTAGGTGGCAGAGGGTAGGCTGGTGACAAGGCAGGGAGTGGGCCTTGCCCTGCCCCCAGGATGGAAGAGTCATCCCTTCTCTCTACCACCAGCTGAGAAGGTGATGTCTTTGGGCAGAAATTGGCACCGCCCCTGCCTGAGGTGCCATCGTTGCAGGAAGACCTTGACTGCTGGGAGTCACGCGGAGGTGAGCAGGGCGGGAATGGAAGTTATGTTGGAGAAAGGAGTCTGGAAGTGGGAAGAGAGACCGGCTGAGGAGATTGTTTTTCTGTGTTCCAGCATGATGGCACACCCTACTGTCACATCCCCTGCTACGGATACCTGTTTGGCCCCAAAGGTGGGCAGCATGCATGACCCCAAACACTGAGCCTAAAGTGTCAGGGCCTATGGGGATGTATGCACAACTTCCCTTGTGGTCAGACATCCCAAGCCCCTCCCCTCTCCCTTCAGCCCTTAACCCAACACCCATTCCACCAAAGTCCTTGGTGACAGGGCTTTCTCCTTCAGGTGTGAACATTGGCAATGTGGGTTGCTACATCTATGACCCAGTGGAGATAAGATCCAAATGAGCCATTCACAGGAGTGATCATCCTAACTCAGACTTCCCACCCTCTCCTCCGTGCTCCAATGGAAGCTCTGGAATTCCCCAGTCCTTGGGGGGGGGGGGGCGGCAGGCAGGGAAGGCAGTGAAATCCCAGGGGCCTGGGCTTACGCCCTGAATCTAGATTTCTCTGCCAATTCTTTACTTCCCCATTGCTATCTGGATGGGCTACCCCACTTGGAATGGTGATCTCCTCGCTTCCCAGTCCCTTCTCCCAGCAACGCTGGAGTTTTGAGTTGTACTCACCAAGGTCATTTATTGAGTCTCAGCACTCTGGTTTCTCTAATAAAATGTTGACTCTCATACTTTCAACTCTCTTTAGGTATGAAGCCTAGACAGTAATGGGGGAGCAGGGGCCCTGACAACAAGCTCTATCTGTTGGTCCTAGCCTTGGGATTGGCAGATTCTATCCCTGCGCCGCATACCCATCAGCCTCGTGTGTACTAGAGATAATCATAGGACTGTCCTTCAGTAACATTTCTAGAGTCAACCTGCTGGAATCAGAGCTGAAGGCCAAGTCACTGGCTTCCCATCTTGGGATCTCCTGAGTCTCAGCTGTCCCAACCCATGAGGCATCTTAAGTTACAGAATCCCCAGGCATGAGAGGTGCCCAAAATCGCCAACAGCCAGGGCTTTCCAGGTGGCTGTCCTGTTACCAGTGGCAACTCCATCCTTAGGCATAGGGATGCCTGCCCTCTGTTCCCAGCTCCTGTAGAGCCCCTCTGGAGGGCTGTCTTTAGTCTCAGTTCCGGACTTGCATATCTTCTTCCTGAGTACTGGACAGGACAATGAGGAAGGAGGGATCAGGAACATGGTGGGGTTTAGTCCTGGAGCCTACAAGCACTTGTCCCAGCTCCTTGCATACAAGCACACATACTCTGAGTGAGTCACACACGTCTAGACATATTGGTGTGTAGGCATAGCTGAATGTGCACACATGTGATTCTTCTTGGACATTTGTATATACATAAAGGCATGGACTCAATGTATGCTTTTTTTGTTTTTGTTTTTTGGAGACAGGGTTTCTCTGTGTAACAGCCTTAGCTGTCCTGGAACTTGCTCTGTAGACCAGGCTGGCCCTGAGCTCACAGAGATCTGCTTGCCTCTGCCTCCCGAGAGCTGGGATTAAATGCATGTGCCACTACCATCACCCAGTCTCAATGTATGCTTTTTTGAACATAATTTATACACAGCGGGGCATACACTTGAAAACACATGTATACACATACACAGTCTCAAGTGTAGTCCTGCAACTGTCTTCCCCTTTGCATCAGAAGTGTCAGGGGCTTAGGCATTTGAACCCACAAATACTACACACATGCACACATACCTCTTTCTTTCCACATCCTGGATGGTCTCTGGCAGCTGTGCCACCTTCGTCTCAGGCAGCAGGAGTACAGTGCAGGCAGCCAGCAGGGCAATTCCACCATAAACAAGTTTGGGCAGCATCAGCCATATTCCATCCAGCAAGATTGCCAGTGGGGCCAAAGAGGCCCCTAGCCGGCCGATGAGTGCGGTGAATCCCAATCCTGTCTGTCTGTTCAAGAGAGGATGAGGGGCTAAGTATCACAAGACTCCCATCCTGGGCTGGCAGCCCCTGATACAGGCTTCTCATCCCCTACCCAGACCAGGAGCTCTTAATCCAGTACCCACCGGAGGATAGGACCCCCATTCTGACAGAGTGCTACTCAGGGACCACTCCAAGAGCTACAAGATGCTAGCGTGGAAGGGAGATCTGTAGCTTACAGAGGCTCTGCCATCCAATGGGAAGTCCCTGGCCTTGTGCCCAGAGACAATCCCCAAACCCCTTGGGGATTGTCTCTGGCATGGTTATTCTTGGGAATGTTTCTTCAAAGAATCACGACAAGGCTGACTTGGCCCAAGGTCACACAGTACAGAAGATAAAATTCCTTGTGCTCTCTGTGCTCTCCAAGACTTGGGCAAACAGCCACGGTGTATCTGGCTGCAGCTAAAGAATGGATAGGGCAGTGTGTGACCGCAGATACCTTCGTTAAGGCAGGTCAGTCGTCTGGGACCCCAACTCACCTGAGCACAGTAGGGTACAACTCAGAGGTAAACAGGTAGGCGGTAGTGAAGGCTGCTTCAGAAAACCCTTTGCCCAATACCACCAGAGTAGTGATCCAGAACTTGGTCTCTGGAGAGAAAGAGATTCCTGCAGTGAAGAGACGATGCCAGGAGCTCCCTGGGTGTGAGGCAGAGTCTTGGCCGAGGGCAGAGCCAAACTGCCAGACCTCAGCTCACCTAAAGATACCAGCATGCTGATACCAAAGGTCAGAGCAGCACCCAGCAGCATTCCAGCCTCCGTGAAGCGGCGTCCCACTTGACGCACTAGGAAGTAGACTGTGATTTTGGAGGGCAGCTCCGTAGCCCCTAACAGCAGCTGTGTCTGGTAGACGTTCAGCCCCAGTCCAGACACATCCAGAGTCAGGCCATAGTAGGAAATGTTCACTCCAAACCTAAACAGAATGACAGTGCGCCTCAAAAGCCCTCTCCTGCTGAGCCTAGGATCCCCCTCACCCCAGCCACCCACAATCCCCAAGTAGGTTACCCCAATCTTAGTAGCAACCCCGTGACACGGGACCTAACAGCGACCCATTCATTTCTCAAAAATAGATGTTAAGGATCAGAATGGTCACACAGTCAGAGCCTAAATGTGAGCCTACATGTCCCTGCTGCCTACTCCACTGGACCTGTGGCAGCCAGAGTCCCCTCCCTGCTCTCAAGAACACCGATGGTCTTCTTACCCTCCCCAGTTACACTCTTGGCCCTCAACTTTCTCACTCCCAGCCCCTCCTCCCACCTCCCTCACTCCATCAGACCCAGCTGAGCCCCTCTTACCACAACACCATGCAACACAGTGAGATGTGTCGGAGCTGCGGCGTTCGGAACAGGCTTAGGTATGAGGGTCTTTGCAGCTCCCGCTCCATGGTGACCACTTTGTTCAGGGTCTGGTGAGAGAAAAAGCAAGGTTGTGACATCAGAGCTTGTCTCAGAAGCCAGTGTGCTGTCTGTGTACTGGGGATAGAAGTACACATGGAGGATCCCCCTTCCCCAGCCAGGCAGCTATTCTGAAGCCAGGCACTCTCCACTAAAAAACAAAGGCTTTTCTAGTCATCTATGGTGGGCACTTAGACACACACATCCCGTTCCACCTACCCCTGTACACACTCTCATACACACTGTACCCTCACCTCCTTGCTCAGGCTGTCCTCACCCACAGGCCGCCCATTCAGCTCAGCACAGCGGAACAAGTATGTTTGGGCTTCCTCCACACGGCCCTGGGTTAGAAGCCATCGTGCAGACTCAGGTACCCACCTAGGGGAGAAGCCAGAGGACCTTCAGCCAGAAGCCAGTCTTGCAAGCCACCTCCACCTCCTGAGCTTCCAGGCTATAGACTCCGGGTTCTCACACATGCAGTCAGTCTCCTTTGCCCAAAAAAGACAGCCACCCCGCCTCCCGGGTCTCCTACTTCCCAGCCTCATGAACTCTTTGTTCAGGACCAATTTAAAAGCTACCTTATAGCCAGGTGGGAGTGGTGCACACCTTTAATACCAGCACTTGGGAGGCAGAGGCAGAGGCAGAGGCAGAGGCAGGCTGATCTCTCTTTTTGAGGCCGGCCTAGGCTACAGAGTGAGTCCCAGGACAGCCAGGGCTACCTAGAGAAACCCTGTTAGAAAAACAAAACAAAGCTACCTCTTCCCTTATTCACTATTCAGGCCTAGACTCCCCTTCCCAGCCAGTCCTCCAAGGCATCCTTTCCTTACTCAAATGAATTGTTCTTGCCCTCAAAACCTTAGCCCCTAGCACAAGCCAACACTTTTGGCAGATGGATGCAAGATGAAGGCAGGGCAGACATACTGATACACAGTTCACCATTAGGAGGCAGTAAAACGCCCACCCTGCCAGGCCCTCCATTCTCCTGCCTTAGTTCCCACCACCATGCTAGCCATGCCTGTCCTTATCCCTTAAGGCAAACCCCAGCCTCCACTTAGCAGGATCTGACTCTCCGCCATTGCCTGTCCCTGTGTCTCTATGGGACCCTTTGAATTCACCTTTCAGTTCCGGTCTGTGATTCACTACCTCTCTCTGGCTCAGTTTCTGGCTCTCCACGCCTCTTGTCTGCGCCTGTGTCTGGTGCCATCTTCTTTCTATTGGTTTCTCTGTTTCTGACTTCTCTTGATACCTTTTTAGTCTGTCTCTCTCTCTCTCTCTCTCTCTCTCTCTCTCTCTCTCTGTGTGTGTGTGTGTGTGTGTGTGTGTGTGTGTGTGTGTAGGGGGGTATATGCATGTGTACATGTTTGTATGTGTGCACATGTGTAGACAGAGGTTCAGGTGATATCACGTGTCTTTCTGAATTGCTTTCCACCCTAGTTTTTGAGACAGGGTCTCTCACTGAACCTGGAACTTGACGATTCAGGTAGACCAGCTAGCCAGCAAGTCTGCATCTTGCATAGCAAGTATTTTACCAACTGAGATATTTTCCCAGACACCCATATTTTTTCTTTTACTTTGCCCACCCCCAGACAGTATCTTATATAACTCAGGCTGCCCTTAAACTCCTGATGCAATTGAGGATAACCTTGATGCTCATGCCTCTCTAAGGACTGTGAATACAGACATATGCCATCACAACTGGTTTATTCAGTGCTGAGGGTAAATCAGGGCTTCGTGCATGCTAGGCAAGCAAGCACTCTACCACTGAGCTAATCCTCAGCCCCTCCCTCAGTCTCCCTGTTCTCTTGTTTGTTATTATATTTAGTTGAGAGTGTGTGTCTGAGTGTATGTGTGAGTGTGTGTGTGTGTGTGTATGTGTATGTGTGTGTGTGTGTGCAGGTGCCCATAGAGGCCAGATGTGTTTGATCCCCTAGAGCTGGACTTAAATGCTGATGGATGTCCTGGAAATTGAACTTGGGTCCTCTTGTGTATGCTGTTACCAGCTAAGCCTCCTCTCCAGCCCCTGTTTCAGAACCCTAGTCTCTGGTTAATCTTGTCTTGGTTGTATGTATCTCTCCCTCCCAGCTACTTGTAATTCTCACCAGATGCTAATGATGCCTGGGACACACGGCAGGGTGGCAGCTAGCAGAAGCCACCGCCAGCTCCGTATCAGGTACCCAACTAGTGCCAGCAGCAGCACGCCTCCCGTCCAGAAGATGGTACTGATGACCCCAGCCACAGTGCGGTGTGCCACATCTAGCCACTCCAGCTCTAGATCCAGAACCATCCAAGACAGGAAGACAGTTAGCAAGGGCCAGATGGGCCCATCTCACTCTAACAGCCTCCCACCAGGGCTGCGGGTCTTGCCCATGTTTGTCTGCCTCACCCAGTGGCAACACAATGATGGTGAAACCAGCCAAGGCTGAACCAGTGAGAGTTCGGGTGATGACAAACATGATATAGTTGACTGAGGCCGCAGATGCCAGGCCCAGCACCAGGGAGCTCACATAGGCCACCAGCAGAAGCCGGCGACGGCCAAACCTGCAAAAGGCATGCAAGGTCAGGTCCCACTGGGGCTTCCCAGCACTGTGGGAGAGAGTCCCCTCAGCCTAGTCCCTTATTTGGCTTGTGCCTATCTCACCTGTCAGACAAGTATCCGAACACCACAGCCCCCAGAATCATGCCAACGAAGAAGCAGGTGGATGTGATTTTGTTCAGTCCTCTCTGCTCGCACACCAAATCCCACTGCAGACAGGCACGGGAGGGGCCTTTTGTGTGTATGAGCCCCTCTACAGCCACACCAGACCCTCCTCTCCAGGCAACTCTGACTTTCCAGAAGATGCCCCATCCCTGTCTAGCAACCTCAGCATCAGAAAGGGAAGACTGCCTCTCCCTGGCTCATCACCACTGCCCAGGAATCCCACTGTCTCCCCTCTCCCTAGGGAGACTCCACCTCCACCCACACTTTCTCTCTGGATGAACCACATAAATCTCAGACCTGGGCCTGGAAATGAGGAGAAATAGAGGCCTCTGTAGTTTCTCCATCTCTTGCTGCAGGGACCTCCTTCTCAGCTTTGTGTTCCAACCTCCCAGAGCCACCTCAGCCCTCCCCTGTCTTCATCACCTCCCAGTGAATTATAGCAGATGAGTCTCAGTTCAAGCCCAGATCTCAACTGGGGGCTTTATACTCACAGATTCTCTACACACAGGCAGACAAAAACTCAGAGCACAGAAGTTCATCTCATATACACACACAACCCCCAAGGTAGTGACAGGTCCAACCCACTCACACCCCACACCCCCCTCACCTCTGGGCTCAGGTACCTCAGTTACAATGGTGGAGAAGAATTCTGAGTGGTCGTACTCCCAGCCCTGAGAGCAGGGCACTGTGAAGGGCTCTCCCTCAGGCCCCCCAGAGCTTTGTGCCTCTGTCCCCAAGGTGGTATTGGGGAGAACTTGGGGATGGGCAAAGCGGAGGCAGGAGCTAAAGCTGCCATCAGTTTCCTTTGGTAGATGGGCCTCCAACCACAAGTCCTGCTGAGTGAGGTTGGCAGGGGCACCAGGCAGGGCACAGTGGTGGGCAGGCACGGCAGCCATGAAGACAGGCAGGAGGATCTGCATGGGCAGCAGAACTCGGGGCAGGGCCATTAGTAGCAGATTCCGCAGCTGGAATGGCCCAAAGCCACCCACCGTGGCCAGGAGCTCCTCAAAGCCCATGCTGCCACCCACCAGATGTCCCTTTGTAGTGCCTAGCACAGCTCAATCTTCTTGCCACATGGACCCTTGGACTCTGGAGGTGGAAATGGTTGTACTAACAAGTGGAGAGTCTGTAACCAGAATCCAGCCCTCAGGGGCTGGCCCAGGCCTGTACCCTCCCCCATCATCCACACTGGAGATCATACCTTGCTAGCCTAGTGCCTAAGGGGAAGGGCTGCTATCCATCATCGGTCATGATGTGTATGCATCTGGCCTTTACACGCTGAACCTCAGAAACCAGGCAGGACAGCCAAGGACAGCATTGGAGGGTATCTGGGTGCACAGGGAGGCAGTGGGACCCTAGCTACTTATTAGAGCTTCAGGTTGTCAAAGTAGAGATGGTCCTCTAGGCACAGTACCTGTCGTCCTAGATGGCCTTTGCCCTGTGAAGTTTTAGATCAACCTTGTCTATTTGCAGTCACAACACAGTTTGGCCCACAGCCCAGGATTCAGGATGAGGGCTGGACTTTAATTATGTAATACTAAGATTTCCTTATACCCCTCACCCATGTCTGGAGTGGATGCCCAGACCTAACTCACCCCTGGACTGTGATGGCCCCTCCTGGGATCTCAGGAATATTCTCTGGCTATCTAGTCTGCCTCTATTCAAGAGCATCCCAGATAACCCATTGGAGTAGTGTTTTCCCCAGTGTTGCCAAGAGTCCATGTAGCACCTGCTCTCAAGAAGGCTTTGTTCCTGCCGGGCGTTGGAAGTGCATGCCTTTAATCCCAGCACCCGGGAGGCAGAGGCAGGCGGATCTCTGTGAGTTCGAGGCCAGCCTGGTCTCCAGAGCGAGTGCCAGGATAGGCTCCAAAGCTACACAGAGAAACCCTGTCTTGAAAAACCAAAAAAAAAAAAAAAAAAAAAAAAAAGGGGCTTTGTTCTTTCTGATACTCCAGTGATTCTAGTTCACGGTGCCAGTTAGTTTTATGTCAACTCGACACACGTTAGCATTAACTGAGAAAATGTCTCATAATATCTAACAGCTGTAAGGCATTTTCTTAATTATTGATTGACGGGGAAGGGCCCAGGCCATTGTGGGTGGTGCTGTCCCTGCGCAGGTGGTCCTGGGTTCTATAAGAAAGCAGGTTGAGCAAGCCATGGGGAGCAAACCAGTAGCAGCCTCCCTCCATGGCCTCTGCATCTGCTCTGCCTCCAGGATCTTGCCCTGTTTGAATATCTGTCCTGATTTCTTTCAGTGATGGACTACAATGTAGAAGTGTAAGTGAAATATGCCCTTTCCTCCCAAGTTGCTTTTGGTTATGCTGTTTCAATGAAATAATAGACACCTGAGACACCCACTCTGTAGCAAAAGCAAGGCAAGGGTGGTGGTACATACTTTTAATCCCAGCACTCCAGAGGCAGAGGCAGGCAGATTTCTGTGAGTTTGAAGCCAGCCTGGTCTGCAGAGCCAGTTCCAGAACAGCCAAAGCTGTTACACAGAAAAACCCTCTCTCAAAAACAAACAAACAAATAAATAGAATCCTCAAAACCTGCTCCCACAGTGACACACTTCCTCCAACAAGGCCACAGCTCCTAATAGGGCCACACCCTTTTGGGTCATTTTCTTTCAAACCTCCACACCACCTTTAGCCTCTAGTGGTGTGGAGGTTTTAGCTGGATCTTGATCCCATCATTGTGTTTAGTTATTTTTTTCTTATTTTGTTTTGTTTTTCTGTGACAGGGTCTCATGTAGCCAAGGTTGGCCTTGAACTCACTATGTTGCTGGGAATGACCCTGAATTCATGATCTTTTCTTTTCTCTACATTGCAAGTGTTGGGATTCAAGGCAAGAACTGCAATGCTGGTTGATTTATTGTTATGCTGTTGTTATTATTATTATTGAGAAATAATAACACAGTGGTCACCTCTCCCTAAAGAGAGAGAGGTGAGACTCTAGATAAATCTAAACCTGCAAGCCCTTTTTTCAGGGAGAAATTTGGTACTAATTTGTACCCTGGCCTCATCTTCCCTGACCCCACTCAATGTGGCAGTACTCTCTCTCTCTCTCTCTCTCTCTCTCTCTGTCTGTCTCTTTTGTCGTTGAGAATGATTGATGGTGTTGGTGATCAGGGTCTAGAGGCAAAAGATGACGTGGACGACAGGCATGAATACCCAGTCTGCCGAGAGTGCAGGTCAGCTCTGAATAAACAGTGAAGAACTGGCTGTAGTTGGTGTGTGTGTGTGTGTGTGTGTGTGTGTGTAGTGTATAGGTGGGGTTATCTGTGTATTGAGTGTGTGTATAAGTGTGTATGTGTGTATTGAGTGTATGTAGGGGTCATGTGTGTATTGTGTGTGTGGGTTATGTGTATATTGAATGTGTGTGTTGAGTGTGTAAATGTGTGTAAACATGTTTATGTGTGTATTGAGTGTGTGTAGGTATGTGTTTGTGTGTGGGGGTTATATATGTATTGAGTATGTATGTAAATGTGCATGTGTGTATTGAGCGTGCATGTGTGTAGGTGTGGGGAGGTTATGTGTGTTTGTGTGTAGGTATGTGTTTTTGTGGGGGTTATGTGTCTATAAGTGTGTATAGGTGTGTAGGTGTATTTTGAGTGTGTGTTATGTGTGTATGTGTGTGTAGCTGTGTATGTTTTGTGTGGGGTTATGTATATACTGTGTATATGTAGGTGTGTGTGTATGGGTATGGGTATAAGTGTGTATTCAGTGTGTGTATGTGGTGGGGTTATGTGTATATTGTGTAAATGTGTATAGATGTGGATGTGGACATATGTGGGTACTCTGTGTGTGTGTGTAGGTGGGTGTGTGGGGGGGTGGGTGTATGTGTGTATTGAGTGTGTGTATGTGTATGTAGGTGTGTGTATGTAGGTGTGTGTGTATTGAGTGTGTGTGCATGTATGTAGGTGTGTGTGTGTGTGAGTGTGTGTGTATTGAGTGTATGTACATGTATGTAGGTGTGAGTGTGTGGTGTGTGTGTGTGTGTGTGTGTGTGTGTGTGTGTGTGTGTGTGTGTGTGCATGCACATGCCTGTGTGTGTGTTGAGCTGCTGAGACTGGGCTTCTATGCTATTTCGCTCTCACCCATGGCCTTGCACTCTCTTCTCACCTTGTGCTATGTATGGCCTCAACTCTGTTGAGAAATGGAGAGGGGTGACCTGATCTTCCTTTAGCCATAGCGTAGTTGTCCTCAGTTCCCTCCCTTCCTCCCTCCCTCCCTCCCTCCCTCCCTCCTTATTTTGAGATAGGATCTCACTCTGTGGCCCAGGCTGTCCTTGAACTGGGTGATTCTCCTTCCTCAGCTGTGAATTACTGGAGTTACGAGTGTGAACAACCCTGGCTCCAGTCCCAGCTCTTGTTCTGGCCTTGACCACGAGAAGCCAATGGAAAAAATCTCAGCAGCCCCTGCACCCAGTGATGGTGTCATCTCAGTTTCTTCTCTAGGGTTCCTCTCCACTTGACAGGAGCTCCTCCAGAGGCTAGAGAGATGGCTCCATGGCTAAAAGCACTTGCCGCTCTTGTAGAGGACATGGGTTCAGTTCTCAACACTCACATGGTAGCTCACAACCATCTGTAACTCCAGTTCTTTCACACATATAAAATAAAATAAAAAAAATTTTTTTTCAAGACAGGATTTCTCTGTGTAGCCCTGGCTATCCTGAAACTCACTCTGTAATCAGGCTGGCCTCTAACTCAGCGATCCACTGGCCTTTGCCTCCCAACTATTGGGATTAAAGGTGTGTGTGACCACGGCTCAGCATGATGAACAGATGCTTGTCTGTGGACATCAGGGAGTTCCTACAACTGAGCTGGACTTTGGCATGTCTTGGGATCCTAGGGAAGGGTTTCAGCAGAGGGTCTCTGGAGTCCCCTTAGCTGCTTATATGGCATAGCCCACCCTTGCAGGGCTGGGGCCTGCTCTATGTCCACTCCCGTTAGAGCCTGTGAGCAGTGAGCTGCAATCACTCTCACACCCGGCACATCTCTCCTGCTGCTGCTGGGAATGCCCTGTCCTCTTCAGCGACCCATCCTCTGTGTCCAGAATGTAGTTGCAGAGGTACAGTCAGACGCAGATGCTGCTGCAGTGAGGCCAGGGTGTGCAGGGCAGCCCAGCCAGCCCTTCCTGAGAAACCTGAAGCTGTGATTCCTTTTGTTTCAGATCTGCTGAGGGCTGAACACAGACACCCAGGCACCGCATGCTGGCAGGATGAGGAGAAGCAGGTAATCTGGGAACTCATAGAAGGATCCGGTGGAACCAGCACACCTCAGGGGAAAGGTGCCCTCCAACTGGCAGCTACCATCCCCAAGAGGCATGCATCTGAACCTCCACAGATATGATTTCTGATTCCAATCATCCAACAATTGGTTCTGGCAGAAGGATTTATCTAAATGACAGTCTCATCTCCCCAACAAGCGATAGTGGCAAGTGCTTCTCGCCCTGAGATCTTACTGACTTCCATGTGGAAGCTGTCCTTCACCCCAAGACCTTATTAGCTCCATTCAGAGCTAATTGTCAGAACCCAGCCCTAGTGACTGCTGGTGGCTGACATTTCCTCACTATTTAAGATTGAGAAGCCAATCTTCTAATGAATGCTGGACCGTGGGCAGAGACACATGCAAGAAACAGGCCAATGAAGAGGAGACACTGGGCAGCTTGGAAACACAGGCATATCCCTATGGGGGAGGGGGCGTCTTCTCAGCTCATTTCATTAATGATTAATTAATGTTTTTGACAGGGTTGTCTCCATTGTTTGCTTTTCTTTCATTTTCTTTGTATTTGATATTATAATTTTGTGTACTATAAAATATGTTTTGCTACACAGTTATTGCAAGCATTATGGCTTGGATGGAGAAGTAGTCTGGCACTTGGGAGCCAAGGAATACCACAGACCACAGTAAGTGAAGCAGCTTACAGCCCTCCTCCAGGGAAAGGCTTACTTACAGCTTACAGCTCTGCTCTACTCCAACAGGGGAGGGGTTCCCGGTGAGGTTGTTACAGTTCAG